TATCACCTTTCTCCCACTTATGACTGCATCACTGTAACTTTGTTCCTTGAATCCTTATGATTTATACTGATTGTTTCCCAGTATGATTTGATTGCTTATTTGTTCCCTATGACTATCATTAAGTGTTGTACCTTATGATTCTTGACGAATGTATTTTGTCATTTTAGGTACACTGAGAGCATTTGCACCAAAGACGAATTCCTTGTGTGTCCAATCACACTTGGCCAATAAAGAATTCTATTCTATTCTATTCTATTCTATTCTATTCTATTCTATTCTATTCTATTCTATTCTATTCTATTCTATTCCATTCCATTCTCCATTCCACTCCACTCCACTCCACTCCACTCCACTCCACTCCACTCCACTCCACTCCACACTCTATTCTGATATTGGAAATCTTCCGTTTGATGGGAGGTGACTTTGAAATAAAAAGAGAAAGAAAGATACTTATGCAAAACCCCATTTGGGTTTTGCAAGAGGCAGGCATGGATACAAGGAAGAGGGATGGCCCCAGGATCACTTTTAGATATTTAACAGTGCCCCTCTTGACATGGCCGTAGAAGCGAGGAAACAGAGAAAGCATCCCAAGTCATATCTATGATAGTTTGATGGGGATGAATCAGACTCTCCCAAGTGGAGAATTACAATCAGCCTTGAGTCAAAGCTCAGAGCCTCCAGCTTGATTTGGCTCAGAGAAGTCTCGCCTAGACTGTCTTCCAACTTTCCAGACCAAAAGATAAAACAGAATAAGAAAGTTTGAAGGTCTTCTAATCCAACCCCTTTCCTCATGCAGAAGATCCTATATCATTCCAGAGACAAATGGTTGTCCAATCTCTTCTTAAAAACTTCCAGTGTTGGAGCATTCACAACTTCTAGAGGCAAGTTGTTCCACTGATTAATTGTTCCCACTGTCAGGAAATTTCTCCTTAGTTCTAGGTTGCTTCTCCCCTTGATTAGTTTCCATCCGTTGCCTTAGAATGGGGTTGGCTCTCTGGTTATAAACTATACTTCCACCAACACTGGTAGGGAAAGCCATTGTAGATAAAAACAGAAAGCAAATCTCACTCCCTTCTAGCACTGATGATGTTACCTAGTTTGGTAATTAAAGGTCTGCAAGAAACCCACCAAACTCAGAGAGCACCAAGGACTCCACAGGTTGAATAGAATAGAACCGTGATGGCGAACCTATGGCACGCGTGCCACAGGCGGCACGCAGAACCATGTCGCCTGGCATGCCAGCTCAGCTCCGGCATGCATGCGTCGGAGTCTCTGGAGGCTGGGGACAGCAAAAAAGTCACTTCCTGTCCAACAGGCTGTTTTGGGCCTCCGGGGGGGCATCCGAGGGGATGGGGAAGTCTGTTTTCGCCCTCCCCAGGTGCATAGAGAGGATCTGGAGCCAGATGAGAAAGAAAAACAGGCCTACTGGGCCATCATGTGCTAGGAGCAGGGGGGCAGGGGGGGGTCGCATGCGTGGGGCAGGGCTCATAGAATTATGGGTGTAGGTATGCATGCACGCGAACCTCCCCTGCCCCCCCTTCCTGGCACGCGATGGCAAAAAGGTTAGCCATCACTGGAATAGAATAACAGAGTTGGAAAGGACTTTGGAGGTCTTTTAGTCCAGGTGCTTTGGAAAATAGGTTGACCTCCCCCTCTTCTTGGTGTCATGCAGCCCTTTAGAACATTAAACACCCTTGTCCGCAAAGGAGCTTCTCTGAACATCAGGAATAGAGTCAGCAAACTTTGGGTAAATCCTGTATATTTCAGAGCCAGCCTGCTTGCTGAGGGCGAATCCAGATGTGCAGATGATTTCACAACAGCCCTAGCCCTTTTTTTTTGCATTGGCCAAGCATGGAAGGAACACCAGAACTGAGATGGCTTCCTGTCCCAGCAAGGGATCCTAACCACATGGTCTCACGTGGAAAGAGGAAAGGAGAAACCTCAAGAGTTGACTGCTGTGATGGTTGATGGAGAAAGACAAACTGGATCTTCTCTGGCTCAGGGTTTTTAAAACCCCAGGGACGGGCCTGACAGCAGGAACAGTAATTTAGCACACAGTCCCTCGAACGCAGATCCACCAGAAACATGGTTTGAATTTTGGTTCCTTGTTTTGTATAAATGTCTTTATCCATATGCAGGGAATTATCTTCTGGACATTGGAACTGAACTTTTGATCCCCTTGACCAGTGGTGGGATTCGAATAATTTAACAACTGGTTCTCTGCCCTGATGACTGGCTGGGTGGGCGTGGCCATGGTGGGCGTGGCCATGGTGTGTGACAGGCAGCACTCGACTTCCTGCACCCTCCCGGGAGCAAAAACGGGTTGCGCGGGGGAGCGTGCTGCCCCCCACGGCCTGTTTTGGACCTAGTAGGCCTCCCTGCAGCTTCCTGGGAGGAAAAACGGGCCCCGGGAGGGGGGGTAGGCCTACACATCCCCCGTGCCCCATTTTGGGCCTAGTAGGCCTCCCTGCACTTACCTGGGAGCCAAAATGGGGGGGGGGCATGGGGACTTCTGAAAGGGGTGGGTTCTCTGCCTGGTTGCTGAGTGGGCGTGGCCATGGTGGGCATGGCCTAGCCGGCCTCCTGCACCACAGTGGGGGGAGGGGCATTTTGCCCTCCCTGAGCACTGGAGGTTTTCCTTGAGCCTTCAGGAGGGTGAAAACGGCCTCCCCAGGCTCCGGAGGCTCTTCTCAAACTTCCGGTAGGCCCGTTTTTCTCCCTCCCTGAGTCTCCGTACATGCCCTGCACTTATCTGCCTCCAAAACAGGCTGCGTGGGGACTCCTGGGGGTGGTGGTGGAGTGGGCGGGGCCAGCCAGGAGTGGGATTTGGGGGTTCTCTGAACTGCACAGAATCTTAGCTAGAGGTTTTCCCGAACCCCTGCAAACTCCCAGCAGCCCATCCTTGATCATATCCTTCCTTGTGGACATTGACACATTGAGGAAGCTGGTGAAGGCTTGTGGGCTTCAATGGGTCTTTACCCACCAATGGTGCATGCAGTATGGAGGCCACAGAAGCCCTACGAAGGAGCAAAACTGTCACTGGTTCTCCAGTTATTTCTCCGATCCCAGTTGGCAGGCTGCCATCTTACGTTATCGCAAGTGAGGATGACTCCCTCAAGTCTGGTGCCAATTTTGTTTCTTCTTTGACCTACAAAGTAGGAGCACACCGCCCTCCTGCAGATGTTGGCAGAGCCGGATGGCTCTACTCATAAGGTGTGGCATCGTACCGCACTTTTCAAGACAGTCCCAAATGGGATGACGGGAAGTCTGACTGAAGGAAAGCCCCAAACTAGGGAATCAAAAGTAAAATCTGAGATTACATCTAGGAAAATTTTATTTTATTTATGTATTTATTAGACGTTTATCCTGCTTTTCTAAGTAAATTTAGGCAGCAAACATTCGTAACACTGCTCCCTCCGCCTCTTTTTCTCCACAACAACAATCTTGTGAGGTGGATTGGACTGAGAGAGAGAGAGTGACTGGCCCAAAGTCACCCAGTCTGCTTTCAAGCCTAAAGTGGGACTAGAATTCACCGTCTCCTGGTGATTGGCCCAAAGCCACCCAGTCAGTTTTCATGCCTAAGGCAGGACTAGAACTCACCGTCTCCTGGTCATTGACCCAGTCATCCATCTGGCTTTCATACCTAAGGTGGGACTAGAATTCACCATCTCCTGGTGATTGGCCCAAAGTCACCCAGTTGGCTTTCATGCCTAAAGTGGGACTTGAACTCACTGTGTCCTAGGTTAACACCTTCACCACTACACCAAATTGCTTATTATTTAATCTCAGGCTCTTTGGCTGTTCACGAGGTAGGTGGCTGAGCCCATAGGTGTGGCTTGTATTGTGAGTCTTGTTGTAGTGTCTCAGTTATTGCATTTTGATGGTTTTAACTCTGCTTTGTATTTTGTTGAATATGTGTTTGTTTATTTGTTGTTAGTTATCCCGAGTAACGTACATCAGATAAGCAGCCATATTAGTTCTCTAAATAAACAAACAAACATAATTTTGATTTAATAGTTCAGTGTCGAGACCGCCTGACTCCACCACGACTCTGGGTGGCTTACAATTAAAAAATAATTAAAAAGAAAACAGAGATATCAAAGAAAAGGGAAGACAAACCACAAAGAGTGCAGCAATTATTTTATGCTGATGGAGGAATCAACCAAAGTATAAAAAAATGGATCTCATTTTTTTTTAGTCTTTTGATTTTAAACTCAGATACATAGTTTGCACCTTGACTGCACTGGAAAGAAACAGAGAGAGAGAGGGGAGAGAGAGAAAGAGAGAGATACAGAGAGAGATGAGAGAAAAAGAGAGAGAGATGAGAGAGAGAGAAAGAGAGAGAGATGAGAGAGATGAGAGAGAGAAAGGGAGAGAGAGGAGAGAGAGGAGAGAGAGATGAGAGAGAGAGAAAGAGAGAGGAGAGAAAGAGAAGAGAGAGAGAGAGAGAAATGAGAGCCTAAATTGAGAGAGAGAGAGAGAGGGAGGGAGGGAGGGAGGAAGAGAGAGGGAGAGAAAGAGAGAGAGAGGAGAGAGAGGAGAGAGAGATGAGAGAGATGAGAGAGAAAGAGAGAGAGGAGAGGAGGAAGAGGAGGAAGGTAACAGCATTCCGTGTGCCTTTGGCATTGAGTCATGTCGGCCACATGACCACGGAGACGTCTTCGGCTTTGAAAGGAGATGAGCACTGCTCCCTACCGTGTTTCCCTGAAAATAAGACCCTGTCTTATATTTTTTTGAACCCTGAAATAAGCGCTTGGCCTTATTGCCATGCGCTCAAAAGCCCAATTGGGCTTATTATCAGGGAATGTCTTATTTTGGGGAAAACAGGGTAGAGTCGGGAACGACTAGCACATATGTGTGAGGGGAACCTTTACCTTTACCTTTAAGTGGTTCCAATTCTGCTTGAGAGGACTATGCCTGCCCGAGACACAGTCCAACTCATCCTGCTCGGCCTCTTCGCTGAGTCCCCATACTGGCCACCAACCCCACTCGTTCCTTACCTCGGCAGGCCTTGCGATCAGAGATAGACTTGCTCACGTCGCGGTAGAAGCCCTCTTTGCAGTAATGGCAGTGCCGCCCAGCCGTATTGTGCCGACAGTTGAGGCAGACGCCACCGCTCTTGCGTCCAGAGAGCTTGTAGAGCTCCATGTTGAAACGGCAACGCCGGGCATGAAGGTTGCAGTTACAGGCTGAAAAGGAAGAGATGGAACAGGTGAGAAGGGACGGACATTTTTCAACACCTAGCAAAAGGCTGGCTATAAAAGCAGCCAAGCGAGTAGGAATGCTCATGCCAACTTCCTTGAACAACAGGGCAGTGGTGAAATCCATTTTTTTTTACTACTGGTTCTGTGGGCATGGCTTGGTGGGCATGGTGTGGCTTGGTGAGTATGGCTTGGTGGGCAAGGCAGGGGAAGGATACTGCAAAATCCCCATTCCCTCCTCACTCCTTGGGGAAGGATATTACAAAATATCCATTCCCACTCTACTCTGGGGCCAGCCAGAGGTGGCATTTGCTGGTTCTCCGAACTGCTCGAAATTTCCAAAACTCAAAAGTGGCCAAGGTTAAAAAAAACACTGATCTAAATAATTTTGGCTGGAACAATCCAGCCAAACTTCAGTTATTTATTTGCTTACATTCAATAGACAGAATCTTGCCGGATTAAACCTCTACTATGCTTACCCTAACAAATATACACTGGAAGATTCTAGGGAGTGGCTATCCTAACTCTCTTCTTCTGTCTTTGATCCAGCTTCTGGCTGTGTTGTCTCTTGGCTCATCCCTATCCTTTGGCATATGCTCCGTCCTTCCTGGGAAATGGGCCCTTGCATCATCTCCCCCCTCCCCCTCTGTAGGCACTTATCCCTCACATCTGGCCAATATCAATAAAGGTAATTTTAGCCTTATTGTGGAATTGATTTCTTAAGTTTGCTCTACCTACAGTAGTGGCCAAAATTGTGGAAACCTTTTGGGAAAAGTGTATTTTTGAGGTTTGATGGCTAATAACACCCCCCCTTTTTTGGGGGGGGGAGTTTCAAAATAATCCTATTCCACTGCTGGAATGGCCTGGGAATAGCCCAGACCTTAACCCAATTGAAAATCTATGGAGCCGACTAAAGAAACTTGTTAGTCAGAAGTGACCCAGCAATAAAACCCAGTTAATAGAAGCCATCCTTCAATCTTGGTTTCACATTAGAACAGCTGCAGAACTCAAAGACTTGGTTCACTCCATGGGAAGACGTTGTAAGGCCGTCATTCATGCTAAAGGTTACCCAACTAAGGATTAACTGACATGGTGATCATTTTTGTAGATCTCCTTTTTTCTACGTGTTTCACTTTTCTTCTTTATGCTGCAACTGCTATTCCAATAGCAAATCCTTCCTAAAACTTATTGCATTACACGCTTGATTAAATTATCTTTCTATTGATATATAATTTTATAGTACTAGTCCCACCCCCCAAAAAGTGGTGTTATTAGTTAGCTTTAGAAAATACACTTTTCCGAAAAGGTTTCCACAATTTTGGCCATTACTGTAGTTAGTTGACAGATTTCAGCCTGGTGCCCGCCAACTGGTGTCTCTTGACCCCCTTCAAAGCAAGCAATTCAAAAACTGAGAGAAATCTCGGATTGATGATCCATAAAATTAATTTGAAACATTCCGTATTTGGCTGTGCCAAATATCAGGCTGCGATGTCCAAACACAGCCAGCCCGTTTCTTGTATTGGTTAAAACTATCTCATCCTATCCTATCCCCTTCTCATTAAAAGCGACAGCAGGAAAAGAAATTAAGTTCGGTTTGAAGAAAATCCAGCTCTCTCCACTTTTAGCTTCAAGCTTTCGTGCCAGGGCTCTAAAATCAGGGGGTTTTGGGGTGCTCTTAAATGCTCATGGATGTCCTCATGGAATGGCACCAGCCTGTTGCTTGTATATAAATATTTTTTTAACACCCCACCAAAAATCCTGATTTTGGAGCCCCTGGCGTGAAGGCTCAAATTCAAAAGTTAGAAGAACTGTTTTCCATCTGTGGGAATCCTTGATTCGCACCCAGATGGCACCACGTTCCATCTAAAGTTGTTGGTTCAGAGTCCATCCAAAGACCCCCGTCTTGGCCTGGGTGGGGGGGATCCTTTCTTATTTCTCACCAGAGCTGTTATGGAAAGGGGAACCGCATCATCCTCAGCCAAGTTACAAAGCTGAGAAGAGAGCCAGGAGGCAGCGGAGAGACCTGCTAAAAACGCAGGGGTGTTAAACTCTATTTCATTGAGGACTGCATCAGGGTTGTATTTGACCTTGGGGGGCCAGGATGGGCATGGCCAGCTTGACATCGCTCGTGTCGGGGACACCTGTGGTGGTCCGAGCACTCTGCCAGTGAAAATGGGCTCCCAAGCTCCATTTTTATTTGCAACAGCCTCCTGCAGCCCTCTGCCAGCGAAAACAGAGCTCGGGAGGGCCGCATGCAGCCCTCCTGACCTCCGTTTTCGGCTGCGACATCCTCCTGCAAGCCCTCTGCAAGCAAAAATGAAGCTCGGAATGGCCGCACACAGCCCTCTTGAGCTCCGTTTTTGGTTGCAACGGCCTCCTGCAACCCTCTGCCAGCAAAAACCCTCTGCCAGTGAAAACGGAGCTCGGGAGGGCTGTGTGCAGCCCTCCCCAGCTTCATTTTTGGCTGCGACGGCCTCCTGCAACCCTCTGTCAGCAAAAACGAAGCTGGGCAGTGCACGCAGCCCTCCCGAGCTCTGTTTTCACTGCCAGAGGCACTGCGGGCTGGTCTTTTGCTGTTTCCAGGGCAGCCCCCCAGGCCAGATCTAAACACCCCGAGCGCTGGATCCAGCCCCTAGGCCTTGAGTTTGACACCCCTGTGCTAAAGTTATTTTGGTCTTTGCACCTCCATGCATACCCTTGCTCCCTTCTTTGGATTAACCCCCAGAACCAACAGGGGGTATCTGGGAGCCACGCGTCCAGCTACAGACCCTTCTGAGGAGATCACTAGCAGCTGCTCTTTGAACACATGCCCAGAAAGTTCATGGAAAGGAGACATCTTCCAATAGCAAATGATGATTTGCTTTGTCCTCCTTCCACCCAGTTCTGGTCAGATCCAAGCCAGAGGGAAAGTTTCTCCAGGCATACTGTGAAATTCATTAGTGTGTCAGCCCAAGATTTAAATGCTGGCCCAGCTTAGCGTTTACATGAAATGTTATTTAGTATTAATATTTATTTGTATCCCATCTTTATTACTTTTACAATGAACTCAAGGTGGCAAACATATCCAACCGACCTTCCTTCTTTTACTTTCCCCATAACAATAACCCTGTGAGGTGGGTTGGATTGAGAGAAAAGGACTGGCCCAAAGTCACCAAGTCATGGCTTAAGTGGGACTAGAACTCACCAGCTCCTGGTGATTGGCCCAAAATCACCCAGCTGGCTTTCATGGCTAAGGCAGGACTAGAACTCACCGTCTACTGTTGTTTGGCCTAAAATCACCAGCTAGCTTTCATGCCTAAGGTGAGACTAGAACTCACTGTTCCTAGTGATTGGCCAAAATCACCCAGCCAGCTTTCATGGCTAAGGTGAGACTAGAACTCAACGGTTCCTGGTGATTGGCCCAAAATCACCCAGCCAGCTTTCATGGCTAAGGTGAGACTAGAACTCACAGGTTCCTGTGATTGGCCCAAAATCACCCAGCCAGCTTTCATGGCTAAGGCAGACTAGAACTCACTGGTTCCTGGTGATTGGCCCAAAATCACCTATCCAGCTTTCATGGCTAAGGTGAGACTAGAACTCACCAGTTCCTGGTGATTGGCCCAAAATCACCCAGCTCAGCTAAGGCAAAACTAGATCTCACAATCTCCCGCTTTCTAACCTGATGCCTTAACCACCAGACCAAATTGCTTCTCCTTCCACGGCCACATTTTTACTGGGGAACAGCCTTAGATCAAATCCTGCACCTGTTAACAGCGGTGTTCCCCAAGGCAGCGTTCTAGATCAAACACTCTTTCTGCTTTATATCAACGACCTCTGTGTTCAAATCATAAGCAGCTGTGTCCTCTTTGCCGATGATGTTAAACTATTCAACACCACAGACAACTCTACTACCCTTCAAAATGACCTAAACTATGTATCTGATTGGTCAAACAATTGGCAACTTCAAATCTCTACTAACAAATGCTCAGTCCTGCACATTGGCAATAGAAATAAGAACATCAAATATTTGCTGGCTGGAAATGATCTAAAAGTTGACCTACACTCTGTCGAGGACCTAGGAGTACTCACTTCTAAAGATCTAAGTCCCAAAGCTCACTGTAACATCATTGTGAAAAAGGCATTTAGAGTTGTCAATCTCATTTTACGAAGTTTTCTCTCTGGTAACGCTAGACTTCAAACTAGGGCATATAAAACCTTTGCCAGACCTATCCTTGAATACTTTCACCTGCCTGGAATCCTAACTGTATTTCACACATCAATACACTAGAGAGGGTCCAGAGATATTTTACTAGAAGAGCACTCAAATCCTCTGCTCGAAATAAAATTCCCTATCCCACCAGGCTTGAAATTTTAGGTCTGGATAGCCTCAAACTACGCCGTCTACGTTCCGACCTATGCTTAGTTCATAAGATTATTTACCAAAACCTCCTACCTGTAAATGAGGACTTTAATTTCAACCGTAATAACACAAGGGCTATCAATAGATTCAAACTCAATGTAATTTGCTCTGATCTTGATTGTAGGAAATATGTCTTCTGCAATAGAGTAGTAAACGTCTGGAACACTCTACCTGATCCTGTTGTTAGTCTCGCTAATCCCCAGACCTTTTACCTTAAACTGTCTCTCATGGACCTTTCATGTTTCTTAAGAGGTCCCTAAGGGGGCGTGCATAAGCGCACCAGCGTGCCTACCGTCCCTGTCCTACCATCCCCCATTTATATGCACTCATTCTATGTGTTGATGGCTATGTTTTGCCTATTTATTTCCTTTTATTTGCGCCAACTTTTTTTCATGTGTCCATGTCTATGTCTATACTGTTGCTTGTTTCCTTGTACTTGTTGATAGATAGATAGATAGATAGATAGATAGATAGATAGATAGATAGATAGTAAATGATAATGATAGAAAGATAGATACATAGATAGATATACTGATATATATATGATAGAAATAGATAGATAGTAAAATGATAATGATAGAGATAGATA